CCCCCCCCCCCCCCAATACTGTGCAGCACCAGGCGTGCCCAATAAGATCCCCCCAGTGCCTGACCAGCCTATCCCTGGGCCCGAGCGCTGTCAGCGGAGGGGACTTCTAATCCTTTCCTGACTTTCAGAAAGTCATTATTTGCATAGGAACACGAAGAGTATATTATGGAACATTATGGTGGTGGGGGAGGGGGGTAGTTTAGTTTTTGTCAGGCTTAAAGTGACATTAAACCCTCAGATTTTGCAAACATAAAACAATACTGTAATCCATGGTTGTTTCCCTTCTCTTTGCTGCTCTTCCTTTTAAATCCTCATGTCTTCTCATGCTGGGGGAGAACTTCCCTTTGCAGCTGAGTGCCTCTTCCTGCAGTGCTGGCTCAGGTTGTGAACCTGCACACAGACACCATGTATCCATTCCAGAGACAAGGCAGTCTGCTGCAAAACAGAAGTTCTGCCCAGCATGAGAAGACATGAGGATTTAAAAGGAAGAGCAGCAAAGAGAAGGGAAACAACCATGGATTACAGTAAGGCGCACATTACAGTATTGGTTTATGTTACACAATCTGAGGGTTTCATGTCACTTTAAAAGGTAAATTTAAAGAGAAGTGAAGAATGTACAACAATGATATGATCAGAACAGAGTACAATGTTTCTAACATTCTATACAACTCATGTATTGCAGAGCGACCATGTTCTAGTTACATTTGGGGAATAAAGTTGAATGTGCTGGTTGTAGAGCAGACGAGACGTCTTGTATAAAGTGTGTGCAGGGAACACGGACAATAAACGATAAAGAATAAAATCTGTCGCAGAAAATAGAATAGAGAACGAGCCGCAGAGGCCGCAATGCAGAAAACACATTTTACATCATCGCCTTTTCTTTTCAGATCCCTACCAAATACTGGGACCCACAAGCAGCAGGCTGGCGAATCCAGGTGAGAAATACAAACACTGTATACATCTGCGGTGAGCTCTTCCCGGTACCGGTGAAACGCATGTCAGCGTATTCTCAGCCGGCTTAAATAAAATCAAAATGCCGGATTGGTGATCTGTCGGAGCGCCGCACCTATAAAGATGTATAGCGGCTTTTCCTGCAGATTCCTTCAGCTCATTATGTGCCACATGAAATATAAGTGAAGATTTATAACTGTAACATTTACATTGTAATTCATCTTCCTCACAGAAGGTTTTATTTCACATGACTTCCCTGCGCAGACGCTGCCCCCTGCTGGACACTATTGTTTATGCAGAGATTCCGGAAACCAACTCTGTCTGTACGCAATGACATTGTATCCAAATCATTTGTTACATTTTACATGTTAAAAAAGACAAATGACATGGCAGCCCTTCAGGCAGTGGCGTCACAAGGGGAGTGCAGCCCGCACCCGGGTGACACCATTGGAGGGGTGACACCAAAATGACTGACAGTCATTTTGGTGTCACCACCCTCTGAAAAGTCGGGCGCTCGGTCATGGACCGAACGTCCGACAGTATCAGGAGAGAGAGGAAGGGACCCGGCGGCATACCTTATCCCGCCGGGTGACTGTCCCCCCCTCTCTCTGCCCCCGGCAGGTATCAGAAGACTGCCGCGGTGACGTCTCGGCGGGGTGGCACCCGGTAACCGCTCTGGGTGTCACCCAGCCTCTGGACGCCCCTGCCTTCAGGGCCTGTTCACACCGAATGTGGTGCGTTCCAGAGCGGCAGCTGCTGGAACGCACCGCAATCCCTCACAAAACTTCGTTCTGGCGGGAGGGGGTGTGGTGGTGCATTGAATTCAATGGCACCGCTTACACGCCCCACCCCCCGCACGCAGTGCGATTGGACGCGTGGCAAAACTTTGCCTGCGTTCCGTTCCACTACAAACGTTAAAAAAAAATAGAGCAAGCAGCATTTTTTAAGTTTGCAGTGGAAAGTTTTGCCACGCGTCCGATCGCACTGCGGGCGAGTGGGGGGGGGGCATGTAAGCGGTGCCATTCAATTCAATGCACTGCCACACCCCCTCCCGGCCCAGAACGCAGGGGGAAGTTTTGGGAGGGATTGCGGTGCGTTTCAGCAGCTACTGCTCTGTGAACAAGCCCTCAAGCATGAACGTACGTGTGTGTGTGTGTGTACGTGTGTGTGTGTGTATACGTGTGTGTACGTGTGTGTGTGTTTATATGTCTGTAAGCACAAACCAAGTCAATCTGTTGGTCTCAGACGCAAGCAATGAAAGGGGCAGCTCACAACTAATCACTTGTACAACACAATTTTCATTTTGCACAATCATTTCTACAGGTTTTTTTTGTTGATGTTTAACTTAAAACTCTCATTCCTTCCCATCATATTGATATTCACAGATCACCGCGCAGAATGCATTCATGTTACACAGGAAGCCAGAAAACCGCAGAGCCCTTCCTCTCAGTGTGACAATGTAACCTGCTGCATAGAAAAAAGACAAACCAGCAGTCAGGATATTGCGCAATTTAAGTGTTTAAAGGAGAACTATGGGCTCAGGGCTTTTCCCCATAGTTCTCCTCAGGGTAACGGGAGGACACAAACTAGCGTCCTCCCGTCACCCTAGGCTCAGTATATAGGGAGCTACAGCTCGCGGTATACTGAGACCGCCAGCAGCCGGAGCGGATCCTGGCGTAGATGACGGGATCCGCCCAGCTGCGTGAGTGACAGCTGGCTCCGCCCCCTCCCCCGTCCGTTCTGCCAGTCAGCGCTGGCGGATCGGAGCGGGGAGGGGGGAATCCAGCCCCTCCCGTCACGGCAGAGAGCCGTGACAGGATCGAGAAGTGAGCGAACGCCGGTATGTGTTCGCTCACCTCCCGATCTACTGAGCCGACCTGTGACAGTCTCATTGTCACAGGTCAGCTAGAACTATGAGGTGAGTGACAAGCCCCTCCCCCTCCACCTCATAGTTCTCCTTTAATATTATTCTCTGAGCTCAGCAAAGTATTCCTCCGAATACAAAGCGGTCTGGACTGCGGAGGTCTGTCTGCCAGCCGCTGCACTTTATGAATAGAAGCAATAAAACCGCTATTATAGACGGGCACATAGACTCACACGATTGCAGTGCAGTAACATGCAGCAAAATGTACTGAACATGTCTCCATGCACAAAACCCAGTGCGGAGTGTTGCATTGCAATTGAATTAAAATGGCTCCCCTGACGCACAGCTACAGTAGACACCAATGGACCCGCACTGCCGGCACATAGTTAACAGAAAGTTAATTTTTCTTCCTTTGACATTCATTGGCAGCCAATTCTAAAATGAATGAAATGCTGCCCATGGATGCATTCAGTATCGCCCCGAGGCATTGTGGGAAAGTGTGAAGTGGTTTGACTAGAAGTCTCTGATGCAGGTTACTATTCACCTCTCCCCGTGCTCCTCGTATACTGTTATATATATATAATATCACATCCCCGTGCTCCCCGTACACAAAAAAAGTTTATTAAAAGAGAATTATTCACAAAAAACACAGAAATTGCACCAAATGTGAACTAAAATATTTACAAAATCGATGGCCGTCAGAGTGACTCGGATAGGATGCGGTGTGAAACATTGTGAGGTCTTCATTGCCGCCATGACTGAACGCGAGGGGAAGTCACATGGTTAACCGTCATCACTGGAACAGGAAATGAGGAGAGATCTCCCAATGGAGAGACGTCTTCCCACTTCACTAAACTAAACAAATTACTAAAAACAGAGTTCTGGCTGTGGTTTGTGGATTGTGGCCGCCACACACGGCCCGGACCGCCACACACGGCCCGGACCGCCACAGCGCATGCACAGCGACGTCCCGGCGGGGTGACACTCGGGTGTCACCCAGCCTTGGGACGCCCCTGGTCTTACAGGCCTTTTGAGGGCGACCATAATGTTGATGCGCCCCCACGATTAAATTGAGTTTGACACCCCTGTGTTAGAAGATCTTCTCTAACACTCCCCCCTTTCTCCCGTCTCCCGCAGGCAGCGGCCAGATCCAGCTGTGGCAGTTTCTCCTGGAGCTGCTCTCCGACAGCGCCAACGCCAACTGCATCACCTGGGAGGGCACCAACGGGGAGTTCAAAATGACGGACCCGGACGAGGTGGCGCGGAGATGGGGCGAGCGGAAGAGCAAACCCAACATGAACTATGACAAGTTGAGCCGGGCGCTGAGATATTACTACGACAAGAATATCATGACCAAGGTCCACGGCAAGCGCTACGCCTACAAATTTGACTTTCACGGCATTGCCCAGGCGCTGCAGCCTCATCCCACCGAGACCTCCATGTACAAGTACCCATCAGAGTTCTCCTACATGCCCCCTTACCACGCTCACCAACAGAAGGTCAACTTTGTCCCGTCGCACGCTTCCTCTATGCCAGTGACGTCGTCTGGCTTTTTCGGACCGACTTCGGCGTACTGGAGCGCGCAGAATGCCAACATCTACCCGCAACCGAGCCTCCCCCGGCATCCCAACACCCATGTCCAGTCGCACCTGGGAAGCTTCTATTAGACTTCCGACTCCTTCGTTAGCGCGGTAACTCTCTCCGCTGAAATACGTCTCATTGGACAGAAAATCGCCAAATCGCCATTAGGAGTCCAAAGTCGACTGACGCCGTATCAGTATTCATCGGAAACGCCGCCTCCATCAGCCAGTATTATCTCATGCTCGTTCCCGCCAGGAATGCGACACTTTGCTGGAATCCCGGGAAACGGAACCAGCACACCGATCGGACCCGCCCAGGAAAACCCGAAAAATACGACGTACTGAAGTCTTTAACGTTTGAACTTTCTCTATTCTCAGATGCACTGGATGGCACGGGGATGGTCTATGAAGCCGGCTGGAATACCAGCGCAGAGGGGCGTTTGTACACACAACATTCCGACAGCCAATGTCACTGTATACAGTCATTTTATTTAATGCAAATCGCTGGAATTTACAAAGTGCCTTTAAAGGAGAAGTACGAGGTCAGGGCTTTCCCGCATAGTTCTCCTTAGGGTAACGGGGGGACACAAACTAGCGTCCTCCCGTCACCCTAGGCTCAGTATGTAGGGAGATGTAGCTCGCGGTATACTGAGACGCCGCAGCCGGAGCGGATCCCGACATGGACGTCGAGATCCGCCCACCTGCGTGAGTGACAGCTGGCTCTGCCTATCTAGAAGCAGAGCCAGCTGTACCCTCCCCCGTCCGTTCCGCCAGTCAGCGCTAGCAGATCGGAGCGGGGAGAGGGGAATCCAGCCCCTACCCTGTCACGGCAGAGAGCCGTGACAGGATCGAGAAGCGAGCGAACGCCGGTATGTGTTCCCTCACTTCCCGATCTACTGAGCCGACCTGTGACAGCCTCATTGTCACAGGTCGGCTAGAACTATGAGGTGAGTGAGAAGCCCCTCCCCCCCTCGTAGTTCTCCTTTAAGATTTAAGATTGCTTGAGTCCTTCAAACACATTGAATAATGCCGGAGACTTAAAGTGACACGAAACTCCGGAGATAAACCTTAAAAATCCCTCCGAGTCCCCGAACTCTGAGCAACAATGTATCTTATTTGTGTATCACTCGGCTGTAGATCCTCCAATCATCTCTGACACCGTCCTTCCTTCTGGAGGGGGGCTACGTCTGTTCCCCATGGTCCCTGTGTGTGTTGTAAAGTAGTCCCCGCTCCAAGCTCCGCCCCCCGGGGTGGACTACAATCCCAAAACAAATCAGTAAACTAAACATGAGATTGTAGTCCATCCCGGGGGGAGGAGCTTGGAGCGGTGACCACTTTAAAACACACACAGGGACCATGGGGAACAGAAGTAGCCCCCCTCCAGAAGGAAGGACAGCGTCAGAGATGATTGGAGGATCTACAGTCGAGTGACACAAATAAGATACATTGTTGCTCAGAGTTCGGGGACTCGGAGGGATTTGTAGGATTAATCTCCGGAGTTTAGTGTCACGTTGAAGGGAGGCCATTAGTCTGCGTTCACGGAGTAGACATTTTGATTTATTATTTTTTAACATTTGCCAGAAAGTTCGGAGTGTCTCATACAAAACAGTCAAACTGCCTGAAACTGATGTAAAAATGTAGCTGACGCATTTCAGGGGAAAGGCCTCATCTTCTTCAGGGCTTAACTGTACAGTTTGTACTGAATTCCTGGCCTGATTCCCTAAAACCCGTGCGTTGAGGCTGAAAAGAGCCGGTCACCTGCTTCCCCATGTGGATGCACCAATACTTCAGGCAGACGGTGTAACGGATTCACCCGGAATGAAACACAAGCCGTAGGGCCCTGAAGAAGAGTGAGGCTCTGCCCCTGAAACGCGTTGGGTGTATTTTATTCATTACACTTTTTAGATAATTTTCAATGTCTATTTGACTCTCCGTACGAGAAGCTCCAAACCTTATACCTAAAAGCAGATTCTCCATTGGGCGGTCGGTTCACCGCGATCATGGAGGCAGCAGCCTAAGGCCACAATGAGGTCGTTTTTCTCCTGCAGACACACCCTGACCCGACCAGATCTGCGAAATGAGGAAGAGTCGAAATGCGTCAATCTTCTACATCATAGGACGTGTACATTCCGTATTATAAATTGGGCGACATTGACCCCGATATCAGAATGTTCCCTCCGCTCCCGTGTATCATCCCCGTTATTCAATGTATCCATTTAACTCTTCCTTTCCTTAATGTATAAACGAAGGACCAAGCAGGAAAGTATGGAGGTGGGACCGGCATAGGAACGAATCTTCTAGAGATTCCACCCCCACCCCACCCCCGAGAGATTCACAAGCGCTGAGCGTTTTGTCGGTAGAGCAGCCGGGAGTCTCGGGACAACTTACTGTATAAATTAGGACTTCT